CACTTATTAGACCCTTCTTGGATTGATTCTCCCAAAACAGTGTTCTGTTTTAAGAGTTTTAAAAACTCAAAAAACTCATTTTTGTGCTGCTTGGACCAATTTTTGAAAAACAGTTTTTGAAAATCAGAGTTAGGAGAGTATGAGTTTTGTGAGAACAACTTAAAGTTGTTTTGTGAGTTTTCATAAGAATGAGTTTAGAATTTAGAAAACACGGAGAACAGCAGTCACTTAAAAAAAAGACGCTAGACAAGGCGTCATTTAAAACCCTTTCTTTCTTGAGTTTTGTTAGTATATTTGAAAGAGAATTAGTAAAAGAAAAAGAGAGTGAATTTGAAATTAAAGAGACCCCATTGTTGGCTTTGCTTGACAAATTTCTTACAACTTGGAAGATCAAGCCCACTATGGTAAACCTGAAGCTTGATTAGCGAGGTTGTTGGTGCTCCTTTTATGAAGATCAAAGGCAACATTGATTTACACTCAAATCATGATTGAGAGACTAGATGATATCATTAGTTGCTGGAACATTTTTTGAGAAATTCTGTAGCTTCTGTGCAAAAGATCAAAAAGAAGGAACAACATACATAATCAAATGTGGGCATCATTCAGAAGTAATGCTAGATGAAGTTAATTTTATAATTCTCCAATGTTTTGCTTTGATTAGCTATTTGTGTAATTCTCTAATATTTTGGTTTTGTTATGTATCACTAAAATTAATGTTTGTACAACTAAAAATGCATATAACACTTGAAGTAATTCATGTAACTCTTTTATTCTATTTAAATTTAGTCAAATTTTAATTAAACTTGATATATTGTATTTGTGCAACTTTTATTAAGTTAAGAATATTAGCTAAAATGAATTCACCTCCAACACTTATTTAAATATATATATATATTTACATTAATAGTTAATATCATAAATTAAAGAAATAAAAGAGTGAGGTACAATAATATTTTTATTTATTTTCTTAGTTCAGAAAACTATTTTTAAAAATTCATACAACCAAGTAGTTTTATCAGTTTTTGTTTTCCGAAAACTGTTTTGTAAATTCTCTTAACCAAGTATATATGAAATCTGAAAAAATTGAAAACTGTTCTCTGTTCTGATTCTCTGAAAACTATTCTTAAGAACTGCTTTGATAAATGCAATCCAAGCAAAACCTTAGTTGCCGCAAAAGCTTCTAAAATATACACTTTTTTTATTAGGGTTCGTGGGTTACCTAAACCCCTCATTTAAAATATAATTAATTTACACACACACACGAGTGGATTCTTAAAAATCTTAATTTTTGTCAAAAACGCTGTTTAATTTTTCTTGGCGCTGTGAAATATTTAAGTAAATGACATTTTCATGCTTAGTCCCACTACAAGAAAAGATGGGTCTAGCAGCAAAAAAATTAGCAACAAATAGGTTTCTAACAGCATTTTTAGTAAATGCTGCACCTGATTGCTGTAATAGCAAGGACCCATTTTTTTTATTTTTAATTTTTAATTTCATCATTCACGTTATTGTTGTAGGCACATTTTTCATTTTTTATTTTCAAATTTCCCGTCGCTCCTCACTTTCTCTCTCTACCCCCGATCCTCTGTCTCTCTAGCTCGACTCAGACTCTCTTTCTAGCTCCTTGCTCTGTCTCTCTACCGCCACTTCTTTCTCTCTCTCTAGCTCGACTCAGACTGGTCTCTCCTCGCTCTTCAATGGAGAGCTTGATCTACCAAAATTGTACTGCGAACACAGTCCCGGTTATGCTATTTGAGCATATGTTCTATTGTGTTATTTGATTTGGGAGCCAAATCGACATCTGATTCGCCAAAACAGGCCAACAATCATCGCCGTTATCTCCATTTTTGTCCACTCGCAGGTAAATTTCACAGCTTCTCACTTCTTCACTCATCACTATTTCTCCTAAATCAGACTGCGAATCCTAGGTTTTTCATTCTTCATCATAATTTGTTTTTATTGGATTTCATGCTCTAATTAGGCATTGATATTTGTATATACAGTAGTGCATTAGTGTTTATAATTATATTGTTTTTTAGTTTAAGTGGTGTTTGGCTAGACGAAAACGAGTTCTATTATGCAAATATGTGGATGGACTGAAGAAAATGTATTAGAGCATTACGAATGTTTATTGAATTTTTAATAAAATTTTCATGAAATGCTTTTATGAGCTTACAATTTCTACAGTATTGTATTTAGTGTGTGTGTCTGTGCGTCTGTATGTGTGTTTGTGTGTGTGTCTATGCACAAGGAGAATGGAGAACAGAACATTTATGAAATCAACAAGATGATTCATTGTCTTTCATTAGAAATGGAGTTTGGCTTCAAAATTACTGAGATATGTCTGAACTAGTGCTAATATTTTCATTAGAGTAAAGCCTATTTAAGCACAAAACAAAGGATTATTGCCCTTAATTGTATGTGTGAGCATCGTCTGTGGTGTACATTAGGAACATAATTTTAATGAACAGCTATGAGAGTGTATGAAGACAAATGCTACCAGGGGATTGCCAGATGGTGTGGTTCCCTATGTGGGTCATTTTCATTCCACAGATGAATCTCAAGATCTTGAATTTCTACTTTTTTTGAAGACAGCAAAAATTGAGATTACAAAAGAGGAATCTGAAATTGGACTCGTACAATATTTGATAAAGCATGCAAAATCGCTAGAGAATTCCTGTATGAGGCTTTAAAACAGTCTTGTTCATTGGTTCATTTATGACTTGTATTACCTAAGCTTGAAAAGATGACCACCTGCATTGAAGGGCAAAATGTTTGTTATGTCTATGTGAGATTCTTTCTTTTTAAGAAAATTTTATCCTTATTTAGATGCTGGTCTGTTTTAGTTAATTTCGGTGGTTCAATTCCAATGTAGTCATCTATGCAGAGTATTTGGAGCTTCCATGGAACACTGGTCATTCCATTGTTCTCAGTAGCACATCTGGTATGTACTTTTTGTAGTACATCTGGTATGTACTTTTTGTAGTTCCAAAATGGGTCAATTTCTACTTTTCTAGCACTTAAAAAGAAAAAGGAAATACCCTTATTATGATTTGATATAATAACTTTATTTCTAATATCTAGCATTTGTTTACTTAAGACTTTATATCATGAATTTGTGACTTCTAATCCATTTACACCATTACTTTGATGGCTGAAAGCATTGTTGGTTTCTAGAGGGGTTCTGACTGTGATGTTATGCCATTGCCTTGAGCAATTAAGCTTCATTGTTGGTTGCGGAGTTTTTTCTTAGCTTAAAATTTATAAATCCTGTTATTTGCACAAGTACTATGTTGGAATATATATATTTTCACAATTCATGAGTTAAAATCTTAGATACTCAAAAGGGTATGCTGTCTAATGACTTATTGCTTCTTAATTTCCTTATATTTTGTGATACATTGTATGTCCAATTCTACAAAAGGTTAAAATATATATTTGTTCTCCAATGAATTAGTGGGTCGCAGTGTAAAGAATGTTTGTTTTGATTAATTTCTTGAATTTATTCACGCTAGTTGCTATCTGTTGTATGAATAATAAGAATTTTTACATCTTTATAATATTAGACTTGATATTATTTATCTGTTGTTGACTTAAAACTTGTTACAGCCATTCTTAACTGACATTTTTATATACAGCCGTGCTTTCTTTGACAAGCGGATCTCACAGGAGGTCAGTGGTGATTCTCTTGGTGAGGTATACAGCCGTGCTTTATTATGAGTAATCTAGTCATGCTGAAACCTATGCTTTTGTTTGACTGGAGTTCATGGGTTATGTTTTTAAACTTATGGGTGGCTGTGACAAATAAGGATTCCCCATGAAGCAGGGAGTCCTTACTCCTGGTCGTGTTCGTCTTTTACTTCATAGAGGTTGGTTAATTGGGGGCACTTTAATTTGTGATAGTGAACCTAACAAATTCATTGAGGTGGCATTTGGTAACAACCACACTACTTTTTGGCATGCTTTTGCATTGTGTAGGATCTTTCTTCATAGTTACAATGATGGTCTTAATTGTTATTCTTTATCATCATTTAGGTTGGTAATCCTTTTTGTGGCATGACTCTGTCCCTCTCCTCATCTCTAATGAAATGAATCCTTAAATGCAAGGATTGGAAGTTTTTTCTTAGTGTATTCCGTAAACTATCAATCTTCAGATACCTTCTTTTTTTTTTTGGCTCAAGTTTCTTTTGGTTGAGCTTGTGTCAGAATTCAAATGTCCCTAAATGAAGTTCTTAAAGTGTTCCAATAACCTTTCATCTATATGCACGAGGTATAGTGATAGCGTCTCCTCTTTCAGTGGCGTTGCAAGTTTGTAAAATTTTCCTATTATTATTAAGAACATTGCCTTTTAACTGTTAATGCTTTTCGGCTTTTCATTTGAGTTATATTTGGGACATTGTTAAGAAAACCTAACCGAATAGCAATCAAACAGTGTGCCAGTGATATGTGTAATATACTAATGTGATAGAAGCTGAGACATCTAAATAGAAACACACAGATTCTTAAAGATAATGTGCATATTGTTTCTCATACTTTTGTGTTGGTTCATGTTGGGGAAGATCTACGATATGTTTGGTGATGCATATAATCCTATAAAGTGCTTTGATCCCTTGCAGATTTACGAGTAGATGGGACCATGTTTATTTTCTTTTCTGGTCCTTTAATTGTCATTGCACATTGGTTTTGCAGCAAAAGAAGTTACTAGTAATATGATAATTTCTTCTCTTCTATGATTTTTGTGCATTCATTTGATAGAAGTTAGAACTTTATTATAGTGGATCTTTGTTTCCTTGCAGGCGCCAAAAGAATAGATTGTCCTGGAAGTTAGTGGGCTGCTTAAAAAAATGGGCTTCAATTTGAGCTCCCGACTCGATAATTTGAGCAAGATAGTTGACTGGTTTTTTACTTTTGCAATGTGCTTGTTTGGTAAAAACTTGAAGATTGGATTGGTTTTGTCAGGGGGCCAAGCTCTTGGAGGACACAATGTAATCTCTGGGATCTTCGGTGAGGATCTTAATACGCTGTATCAGTTATCCTCTTGGATCTAATTTAATTTGGATTGTTAGTGATTTTAATATCTTTTTGGTGTCTGGTAGATTACTTGTAGGATTGTTGCAAAGGAAGCACAATATATGGATTCAGGGGTAGTGGACCTGCTGGGATCATGAAATGCAAATATGTGGAGCTGAACTCGCAGTTTATTTACCCATATAGAAATCAGGTTAGGACCTTTTTTTTTTTTTTTAAAGCATAATTTGTAGTTTTTTTTTTTAATAAATTAACTCTAGTTGGCTTGAATATTTTCTCTCTTGTCTGAGTTATTAGTATATCCATGATCTCTGTTTGTGTATATTATCTTTTGACATGCTGGACAGACTTCAGTCATGAGAAGTTTTGGTTCAAATTCAATATCCCAATACATTTTGTTTGAAAATAAAGGGACAATAGTACAAAAAGTGAGCAATGGATTTGCAGGGACATAAACCCAGCTCAAATAAATTAGAGGAGTCATATCTGATCTATTTTTATTTCTTTCTACCAGGGTGGCTTTGATATATATGATCCGTAGTGGAACAGACAAAATTGAAACCCCAGAACAGGTGATATTTCTTTTGGCTTCGCAAGATATTCCGCGTAGTGCTTCTTTTAAATTAGGACAAAAGTAAATATATTTTACTCTTATGATTCTTGTAAATTAACCTTTCAAAGTTGAGTTTGACCAAGTTCACATACACCCGATTTCAGTTTAAGCAAGCTGAAGAAACGGCATTAAAACTTGATTTGGATGGGCATGTTGTAATTGGTGGGGACGACTCGAATAAAAATGCTGGCCTCCTTGCCGAAAAAGTTAGGTCAATTCTTTATTTTCTATATCAAAACTCTGGTTGTTTTTTGTTTTAAATTTTACTTTTGTTTTCTATGAATTTTTTAAAATTGGATTATTGATTTGTACTTTTTGTAGTTGTAATGCACTCCTACTGGTCTGATATTACTTGTTGCATTGTATTCAGGATTAAAAATTTGAAAACTCAAGTGATTGGATGCCCTAAGACCATTGATGGGGATTTGAAATGCAAAGTCTATCGGAAGTACTAACCCCACCAGACAATCGAGTCATCTGCGAGTCTCTTCTTTTTTGACGATTTGAGCGAACTAAGGCCAAACAAGCCAAGTGCCAACATTGACCAAATTCAACATGAGAATTGATAAGTTGATTCACATCTCGATATATTATAGAAAGGGTGATCTTCCTGCATATGATAAACAAAAATAGTGGGTTACTTTGTATAACTTGGATGAAACCTGGGATAAGAAGAGAAACAATAATAATATATATATATATATATAAAAGTTAACAACCGACATTAAAATTATAAAAAATTACAATATCGGCGTTTCCCCCAAAACCAGAAAGGTTCAAGTCCTAAAGGACTTAACTAAAGCCCAACAAAGAGAAAGAAAGGCATGCATGCTATGGACCCATTACAAATCCAACCCAAAAATGAAAACCATAGCCACCATTAACCTTGTCACATGTGACAATATGTGACAAGGTCACAATACTTTAGTAGTGACCAGACATTTGCCGCCGTCCTCCGTCCAGTCCTCCCATCCGGGAGCAAATCCACAATCCCCATTGGCATACCTTGTCACTTGGAATTGTGTTCTGAATGCCGCGGAAGTTTGTAAAAGTTTTCTTTCAATAAGGCTTTTTTTATCCAGCAGTGTGGACAGGCGCCATCCTGTAGATGTGGATGCATGTGATCGTAACTTTTTATGTGTTGTGAATGTCAGTTCCCTATGTGTGTAGAAATTCCTTCTCTGAAACCGGTCAAAATCGATATGGGTTGGGCCTATTCTTTGCTTAATTTGGGCTAACTCTTTCCTAGTCCTGTCCATATGACAGGAAAGTCCATTTATACACTTTTGTTAGTTACCATCGATCAGCTTGGGCCTGTCCAGCCCAAGGCCAATCAAACATTTGTTCTACACTAATTCAATGTTTGGTTGGACGGAAAAATACATGGAATGGAGAGGGAGAGAGAGTGATGCGGCATTCCTAAGGAAAGGAACGTGTTCGTCACATTTTTACTTTTAGTTTAATGGAAAGAATAGGAGAAATGATGTACAGAGTAAGGACGAAGACAACTAAGGCCCACAAGGAGCCCATGAATGGAGCCATATTTTTTTTTCGTTTAGAAGAAGAAAGGGAAAGAGAGTTTTTTTTTTTTTTTTTTTTTTTTTTTTTAACTAATATACCTTCACTATATGTGTGAGAAATTTTCAGTAGATTAGGGTTTAACAAGGATTTTGTAAGTAATTAAAGGTTAAAATACGGGTTAGGAGCCTCTCTGCTTTCCTCCCTCGTTTTTTTCCTCCCAACCAAATAAAAAAAACTACTTCTATCATCCTCTCTTCCATTTCCGCAGGCGCTGGAAATCTATTGGTTTAGTCAGTTTACACGGATCAATCAAATAAATAACAAAATATTAAGCATAATAAGTGCCATAGGCCACCTAATTTAGACTTTTTGGCAACACTTAGTAATTTAAAGTCTTGAATATTTTGCACAATGAACTAAACTCTTAAATGATGTTATTACAGGTTACGGTGCTTGCAAATACCCCTCTTGAGACGGAAGTGAAAAAGGACACAAACGGAATCTGGAAGTGAAGTGGAACTGATCATCTTTCTTTTTTTTCATTAGCTTGAGAAGATCAGTGATGGCGTGAATGATATATGAGATGATGATGATCCATGAGAAGAATAACATAGCATTTATATAGAAGGTGGGGAAGAGAGACCAATGGAGAGGAGAAAACACGGAGATGAGAAGAATAATCAAAATGGTGCAGTGAAGAAGACGTGTGTTGGGGAAATGAGACCAGAATGGAGATTGGCAAAGTGAAGAAGACCTCTGTCAGAGAGAGAGAGATTCATCATATGTATATATATTTTTAAATTGAGATCTTCAGAGATTCATCATATGTAAGAGAGAGATGGATGTAGAGAGAGATGGAGAGATATAGAGAGAGAGAAAGTGATTACTACACGTAACGATAAATACCCAGCTGGCCTCGAAAGTCATACACAGTGCTTCCATTTAATTCAAGTTTTTAGAGGGTTCACAAACTGCCTATTATGGAGACTGAAGTCGGCCCGAGGTTAAATGGATGGGCCTGTTAAAGGGTCGATTTAGGCTAGAATGCGGATAAGCTGAGCCCAAACAGAAATTTAAAAGACCAACTTCAATTAAATCCTGTCAAAAAGTGTTTATTTCATATTTGTTTGAAAAATAAGATAAAACCACCTAAAGAGGCCTGTTTGGCCGAATAGTACTTCTGAGGTGTTTCAGTTTAAAGTATCATTAAGTGCTTATCGGTAATTGTGTTAAAAAAAAAAAAAAAAAAAAAAAAAAATTTATAGTTTTAGCTACAGCAAATGACTTTTGGGAGAATATAATTATATAATGATTTAAGAAGAGTTGGGCTGAAGCACATGCATCCTATTATTTGAGACAAAGGTTTTAAAACATGACATAAGCTAACAGTTGTCACCAATGATAAAAAAAACTAATAAAAGGTACCGATACATTTCTAAAAGGTGAGCTTTGATCTTGCAACAATTGTCACTGTTTTGGGTTAATGTTTATGAAAAAGAAAAAAATGAGATTTGTTTTTTCTATATATGTAATGCGGCCCATATCAAGAGTTGGATATTTATTACTGTGATTTGGGTTATGGACGTTTATGTATGTATAATATAATAACTAAATTGAAATAAATATAAATTAAATTGTGGGTGATAACATGTTGTTGACTGTCATGATGTGTTGGATGCTATGTTTCATTGTATTATGGTAACTCGTGTAAAAAGAAAAAAATAATAATCATAAAAATACTATAAATTTAATTAATACGATGAATAAAAGTTAATCTGGAATTCAACTTGGAACTTGGTAGAAGACACCCTTGTCAATCTCAAAAAAATATATATATGAAAATTTCTTGATGACCACTTTTAATAAAAAATAATCATGGGTGAAATTTGATACTTTTTGCGACAGTATTAATAACACCAACACTTTTGAATTAGGTACCCTTGGATAAATTGAAATTTTAAATATTGAATTTATATATTGTTTATAAATTAAGGATTGAACTCTTCAAGTGCTATGAATAAAATAAGATTTTTTTTTTTTTTTTTGTTGGTTCATGCTGCATAAATTCTTTTGTGTAAAGGCTTTAATTTTGGGTTAATAAGTACGAACATTTCTATGAAAGAGTTGTATCGGTATCGTATTCGTGTCGAACACCGATACTTTTCGGACACTCTTCGTATACGTGTCCAACACTTTATATACTTATATATAAATAAAAATTAATTTTATTATTTCAGACACTTTGCCGACACTTTCAAGATACTTGGCTGACACTTTCTGGACACTTTTCGAATATTTCTAACACAAGTTTATCTACTAATGTTGAAATAATATAAATACTATCATGACAAAGTAATAAAATATTAATATATATGATATAAAAATCAGTGACATAATTCCATTTTCTAATTCATTTCAGAATAACGACAGGTGTTGGGTGATTTATGTGTCTATATTAGTGATAAGTGTAGATTTAATAATCTCTCTCCTTCGTCTCATATATGTGTGTGTATATATATATATATAATTTGTAAGAAAATCTTTCATGATTTAGGGTATGAAAAATGAATAAAAGATCCTTTATAAAAATTTATACTGCACAGCTTATATATATATTTATATACTAGATGATGACAAATTAATAATAATACTAATAATAATTAGGAAATTTATTAGAGAGAAATAGCAAGTTTAATCCAAATATAACACATATGATTAGTTTAAATGCTCGCAGTATCAATATCAATAGTAATCTTGATTTAATGACTAGAATTGAAGTTGAAGTCAAATGATGAATAACCTCCACTTTATTACAGAAATTAAATAAAATTGTATAATAATTAAGGTTACATGGTTAGTTGTATCATTCTTTATATTACGATTACAATCGATACCACAGCCGTGGCTCACCACTGGTCTTTAAATTTAATTACAAGGGCACCAATGGTCTTTAAATTCAATTACAAAGGCAAAAGGGACATATTCAAAGTTTGTACAATGGCTCTGACACCTACCCCATTAGTTGCTTCATTACAGATCACATACAGGGAAGAAAAGGAAACTCTCATTTTTTATTATTTTATTATTTTTTTGAATTAGAAAATATTAATACTTCTACAAATAATTTAAACATTGTAAAATAAGAAACATACCTAAAAGGTAAGGGCCTATTTGACATGCGTTTTACTTTAGACGTTTTGTTTTTGACTAAAACAGAAACAATATTTTTACTATTAAAGTGTTTTGGCAAAAATCGAAAGCACATTTTAGAACGATATTTTGTTGTGAAAATGTCGGAAAGAGAAACATAAAAAACATGTTTGGTAAATCATGCGTTTTAAGAATTTTGAAAACAAAACATGTTTGGTAACTCCAACTGTTGTAAAAATTTATATATATATATATAAACAAAAAACATGTTTGGTTATCATTATTTTTAATTTATTTTTATAAATTTTTAATTTATTTATAAATTTATTTTTATATAAATAGTATATATATTTTTAATAAATATATTAAAATTTGAACACACAAACATATATATATATATATATATATAACCAAAGTGTAATTACAGAAGCAATTGCTTCAGCGAGACCAATGTTTTGGCATCAACTTAAGTCTTGATGACATATAAAGTTCCATCTTTTTACTGTGTTCTTATGATCAAGATATTAAGATTACCTTTTTCATTTCGAATCCATCTATTTGGAGTCAAACTTCACAAAACATCTATCGAGGAGTCATAACATAAAATAAAAATAAAAATAAAAAAAACCCTGCTAGAATGGAACCTTATAAGGAAGCTTCCAAATTATACTCATTCTTCTGTATTAGGAAAAATGACAAAAAAAATGAGAACAAATTAAACAGTAGGTTAAATTAAACAGGAGATATAATTCAAAGTTCAAACACAATTCACTTCATTGTTTACAAATTTCAACAATAGGAATCAAAAACAAAGAAAAAGATGCTTAACAAATAAAAAGATATTTCCTTATGTTTTCCTTACAGGAGACATACTTCAAAAAATACAAATTTCACTTCCATGGAACAAGCTTCAATAGTAGGATA